ATAGATGTTAGGCGTGTTTCACTTGCATTGAAGGTGTTTGTTGAGATGCTTGAATGAAGTCGTTGCTTGAAAATGGTGTTTCAATTGTCATGTGTAAAAACTCAAGTCCGACTTATAGAAGAACTAGGATTTGAGGGTTTAAAAAGGGGATCTTTTATTAGAAGAAGCCGGAGCTTGGTAAAATACAACTGTGTTTAGATCGTCAGAATAAGAACGCCGACCTAAAACTCTTTAGGTAAGTTAACCAAAAGCTAGAATAATCTGATCACTTAGTTTGCTATAGGTCTTGATTGATGATTTGAGGATGATTTGAGGAGTCGAGGACTTCATATATTTATAGCTTGATTAGGTCGATCTTCAACCCGTTTAGAATAGGAAACTCTCCTTGCCGATAAGAAAGTGTTTCCTTTTTTCCCGGGTCGCTTGATAAATGGAAGATTTCCTTTTATATCGCTGACCTGAAACTTGTTAAACGGGCCGACGAGAATTCATAGCGGGCTTGTTAGAGACGGTATGAATCTCATCTCTAACAGTAAGTCCCCCCCCCCCCCCCCCCCCCCCCCCCCCATTCGGCAAGTGAGGGATATTACTTGGTGAATTTCATGGTGTTGCTTGGTATGCATTCTGGTCGGCTGTAAAAGAGTTAACTAAATATTAAAATTTTACCTGAAGTTTCTGATCGGCCCGATGATGATGGTTAGATTGTGAATCTGGACGCAAAAAGTTCCCGCCAAAAGGTGATATAAACCGGGCATAGGTCTTCGCATGCAAAACTAGGGTTGACACGTGTCAAACCCTAAGAGGTGAGGGCGAAGAGGCCGATTAAAATTAATAAGGAGAAATATGAAAGGTTGCCGAGTTCATGATGACTTTCGATAACCGTCCAGACCTTCCTATAAATAAGAGTGACTTGGCTTTGATTTTTTCACTTTTGCATTTCTAGCGAAACTCTGTCAAAATCAGGTTTGCTCTCTTCTCTCTCTTCCTTGCTCTTGATTTGTTTAGAATTTAGGTCTGCCGATTAGACCTCCGCCGAGTTTCGTTCTGAACGCCGATCAAACATGAGTAAGAGCGTCAAAATCAGGGAAGGCCGATCAGGCTCAAAGGAAATAAGATCGGCGCAGAAGAAAGCTGATGAGATCGGCGTCTCCTTAGAAGAGTTTCTTCAGATGTCTAGGGATGACCAGGGAAACTGGTGAACCTAAGATTCAACCTTGGATAATTTGAATTTTATTGATAACAAGAATCGAAAGATTACAGAACGGATTCATCAAAAGTACTGAAAAGAGGGTTCCCAAAAACTGGGATCCCGAGCGAAAAGCTCTAACACGAAAGCCGACCTCCAAAAAGGAGAAGCTATTACAACGCGTGATTAAAACTTAATTCCGTAAAATCTGGAGTAATGAATGTGTTTTTCGTACAGGGTACGGTCCTATTTATAGGAAATTAGGACGGTGGCCTCGCTGGATACTTTTGACGAAATTGACCTTGTTGGGCTTCGCTCTTCAAACTTGAGCCGAGCTGGGCTTCATTATTCGAACTTGGGCCGATCTGGGCTTTATTCGCGAACCTGGGTCAAAGATTGCTTCCTCTCCTTGGGTCGAACTGATCTTGGGCCGAGCTGATTAAATGGGCCTTGGTTAGACCCAGTACCAACAATATTAAGCCAAACAACGTCATGAACCTAGAGCTCATTGCAATATTAAGCCAAGCAACGTCCTCCTAGACAATGATTTGACTGCCCATGTTAGTGACTTTGGTCTCGCTCGTCTTCTTCTCAAGTTCGATCAAGAGTCCTTCTTCAACCAACTAAGCTCAGCTGGTGTTAGAGGAACCATCGACTATGCTGCACCAGGCAAAACTATCACACATATATAATATTTTATGAATAAAATTAACACAATTTTTTTCATTACAATCTTGTTTCCATGAATTATGATGTAGAGTATGGAATGGGAGGACAACCGTCAATACATGGTGATGTGTACAGCTTTGGGATTCTGATTTTGGAAATGTTCACTGGAAAAAGACCAACCAATGAGGTAGTTGCGGGATACTTTACCCTCCACAGCTACATCAAATCAGCATTGCCAGAGCAAGTGTTGGACATTGCAGATGAATCAATTGTTCACAACGGTCTCAGAGTCGGTTTTACTGCCGCTGAATGCTTGGCACTAATTTTGGAGTTGGGACTTAGGTGTTGTGAAGAATCTCCAGTGAATCGGTTGGCAAAGAGTGAAGCCACAAAGGAGTTAATCTCAATCAGAGACATCTTCTTTAAAGCTAGAAGAACAGCCAGATGTTGAAATCCACTAGAAGGCATAATTATCTGAAGCCTCTAAATTATCATTTTCATCATGTGTTGTTTTGCTGTTTTATGTATTCGTATGGCTACAGAATAATGTTGTCTGTTGACTATCATTGTGTCATTTTCCAGACAAAAGATGGATGTTGTGTTATTAAATTTCGCGGTTCTTTTTTTTGTCAAAGAATTTCTCAGCTTTCATAATCCAAAGTTTCCTTTTTTTAATATCGGTTGTGTTTATGTTTTTTGAGATTTATTTCTAGGTGATCGGGATAAGAACATTTAAAATCTGGGTATTGCTAAAATTTATAAGATTCTCATGTTTTGATTTCAGATTCTGTTTACTTGACATTCTTTAGGACTACTAGTGGGTTTGTTCACTTATTCATTCGGTATGGACAGAAGAGTCAGGAAGTTTTCGGGAAGGTTTTTTTGGTAAGCTTTCACATTATCTTCAAGAGTTTGACCCATGTACATTAACAGATTTAATCATGTAACCATGTATTGATTTCATTTTTTTTAGTCTTGGCCTTAACCCGTCGTGTATACTTTGTGTATGAAGCTTGAAATATCACTTGACCAAAATAAATAGAGCATGTTGACAAGGAAACATTTATATTTTGTTGCATAAGATTTGTCAGATGGTAAGACCATTTTATTTGAATTTCCAACTTTACCTTTCTTTTGCTCCATGAAGGCTCAACTTAACGGACCAATTTTTCAAACAAATCAAGTCTAACTTAGTCTAGGTCAACCCAACGACTTTCGTCATTTCCTGTTTTCCATGTACATTTGATATACACTACTACTATATATTACCGCAATAGAACATCAATATGACATGACGCACAACAACACTTGTCCATGTCATCCCTCCGTTAGGCTGAAAATATGTCCACACGAGAAGTTTTCAGCCGTTTTTTCAGCATCTTTGATAAATTAATTAAAAGATAATTTATGACATAATCTATTTAACAATTTTATTATAAAACATGACATTCCAAAAATAATCTATAAGAAGGATTAACTAGTTTGCTTTTAATCTACTGTTAGTCTGACAGTAATTTACAGTTATTCTACCATTAATGTGTCAGCAGTCTACATTTAATTATGAGAAAATTACACTGGGGGACACTTTCGCAAACTCTAATATCAAATTAAGGCACTTATGATTATTATCACACTTTAGCCTGATAAAAAGACCTCTATACCCCTCTGTTATGCTTTCTTTGTGTAATGGTACATCCTGTAACAAACACACTATTTACATTTTTACTCTCTGTAATATTTCAGATCTATCATCGGAAACTTTAAAATTTCCGACTTCGCCGGTGTCGATGCTGACGAATCTTCACCATTGATTCCGACTATTCTTCCATCTTCTCCGTTTTACTTTTCAAATGTCTTCCACACTAGGATTTGTTACTTCCGTTATCGGCGTCTCCTAACCCTAGACCTTTGCTTATATTTCGCCGTCCATAAACCCCCCGCCCAAATCCGCCAGACAACCACATCTCGGAATGGTAGGTAAACCCCTTTGATTATTCTCATAATTCACAGATTTTATACTCTAGGGGTCATCTTACGTCTGCCTTAGTGGTTCACGATGAATCTGTTAATTTGAGACTCCCCCTCCAGACACCATGTCTGTAACACATTCGCAGTAGCCAAATTCTTCGTCTGCAATTGTTTTCGTCGGTTTCTCGGCATACCCAATCCATTTAGATCATCCATAGTGCACATCCATAGTGTGCATCCACATAGATCATCCATAGTGTGCATCCACATAGCTTATTCTCAGAGTCCATCCACGTACATCATTCATAGTGTGCATCCATATAGATTATCCACAGTGTATATCCATATCGTCACATCCATACAGTGCATCCATATAGACAATTCACAAATTTCATATTCATAGATCACCCAACACATTGTCAATAGAGCATCCAGAGAGGACATCCACATACCTCATTCACAATCTCCACCACATATAGGATCCACAACTATCACTCACATTGAACTTACACATATCACATCTATACCCACCATCCACATCTACAATCCACATATTGTATCCAAGTAGAAACATCAATGTCGAGGCATCCACATTCACTGCAATCACATAGAGCTCCCGCATCCACACTGACCATCCGTTTGCATCTTCCATACTGATCATCCATTTATAATTGAACAATCTAACTCATTCACCATATGCACCCCTACTATCACACTAACTGTTTTCTTAATATTTTCCCAAGTGCAGGCTCTGACCACTACCATGAGTGGGACACACGCCTACCAACATGCTTGTTTGCAACAGATAGATTTCCCAAGGCTCGCTTCAATGTTTACTCCAAAGCTGATCTCCTCCTTTCCATCCACGACATCCTTAGAGACACCCCTGAGTTCGACACCATTAGGTCTTCTTGTTTCGGTCAGCTCTTCGACCTACCAACAAACAGGTGCTCTAACTCTGGCCAACTCCTACACGCCTTGATTACCAGACAACTGTTAACCAAAAAAAAAATATGAGTGGTGGACCATTTTTGGCGGACATCCGATCAGGTTTGCACTCCCTGAGTTTGGCAAATTATCCGGTTTGCCATGCGGACCATTCCCTGATGGCTACGACTATGACTACGATCAATCAGATGTCACTCACCCCGACTCCGCATGGAAAGAAATCATAGGCAATAATGCATTCGCCACCGTTGATGACATCTTGGAGCTCCTGAATTCACGATCCATTCTTGACAAAGGTAGAATTCTACGGCTAGAACTTATAGTAATCATAGATGGTGTTATCATCGCTAGCGCACAGCACCCCGCCCCACACCTAAATACGTGTCAATGCTTTTGGACTTAGACTCTTTTCTAAACTTCCCATGGGGCCGGGAATCTTACCTACGCACTCTAGTCCATTTGCGGCCAGGTATACTTTGATCATCATCACCTTCTTATGGTGTCTTATGTATTACGTGATGGAGGATATGCTACATGTCTTACACAGGTAAAAGGATATCAGCTAAATGCTCGGACCCAATACACACATTCTGCGAGAAGCTCAAATCTGGATCAATGTGTCTGAAGGGATTCCCTCTTATCCTTCAGCTCCTAGCATTCAACAACATCTCTTCCCATTTTCGATGTAAAGCCTACTCTCATTCAAACTCCAGGGGTTCATTTGCCAAAACAACCACCTATTCAAATGGATGATATCATTAGAGCCGAAAATGATCCCAAGGTATATGTCCGATGCTACTACCCTCACCATCATCCTCCTTTTTAAAATTCATATATAAACTATGCTCCTCTTGCTTTCATATATCTCTAGCTTGTCGTCAAACAAATTTTCTCGGTGGAAACACCGTACGACGAGGGGTGGGCTGAATGGGACGATGAATCAAAAGACACAAAGATAAATTTTATGGTCGACCGCATCGACAAGGGTGACGCTTTCTCCAAATCAGAATGGCCTGGCGGTGATTCTTCGTTGCCTCTCGTTGTTGTTAAGCCTGTCAAGCTCGTTGGATTTGCGAAACACGCCACTGCCCGACGGGCCATCAAAGGCAAATCTACCATCACTCCACAACCTCCCGCCTCCTCCAAGAGCACAACAACCCGCAGAGTTAAAAAGACGCAGTTCCATATAAACGCTGCTGCGCCCTAAGATTACGAAGAACAGAACCTCTGGTTACTTTCACAGGTGGAGTTCCTCACATCCCAATTTCACCATCTTCGCAAAAGAACTACCATATTAGAACACCAGGTCCACAGTGTCAAGAACCGCCATTATCGGAGACCTATTCACCCTCTTCAAAAGAGGAAATTACAGGATAAACATGAGCCTTCTATCTCAATATCCAATTTCATACCTCCCATCATCAGTTTTAGAGGGGAGTGCGCCACGACCTCAAAATAGATTAGTTCTTCGGCACAAGAGGTACACTCTTTCACCTGTTCTAGCAGTTATGGCATTCATACTATCCCTTGCTAGCACGCTCATTCATCATTCATATCCATTATTGACATCCATAATTTAGTTCATACTTAGTTTCCATTAATCGGATTTGTCCATCGCATTCGTTCATCGCATTCGTACATCGCATTCGTCCATCGCTTTCGTCCATCGCTTTCTTCCATCGCATTCGTCCATCGCTTTCGTCCATCGCATTCGTCCATTTCCATTTACCTTCATGTCTACCATCCATAACACTCATCCATCTTACCACTCATCTCGCTGCAGGGTAACGTATGCGGTGACTTGCCTCACATACATAACGACAATGCCAATGTTGTAAGCTCACACATCTTACTAATCACCTCTCAACATACTGATCTCTAACACCAAACACCCTGCAGGAAGATAACCAGATTCACCAGGATTTGAGTCAGAATTTTGCCAACAGCGACGGATCCGCCCTCCTACATCATCAGTCCACCATTTCCCAGGTAACTAATCATGCTCTCCGCTACGCCCAACATATAATATGTTACAATACTAACACAGTCATCTAACAGAATTTCGCAGAAGAAGTGTCTCATATCCCACCATCAACGCTTCCCAATCTCCCTACCTCGGATTACTCTTCTGTCATTGGGTCTGTTTTAGAAGATATCCGCACTTTAGAAGGGAACCATGACTCTGCACCCGCTGCCACTAACGTGAGTCCCACTGGCGCAACCTCTGCAGGTAATTTTCTTTTTATCTGCTACACCTTTATAAAGCGTCACCATCCCTCTCAACCCTAAAATATGTACACCAGGTTCCACTCCCAACAACTACCAATCCCGACCACACATCCAACGACCACGACCAGGTATGATCTCCACCAAAAAACATTGCTTACATTGCTTTTACAACTTTCGTTAAATTAACTCATCACATCTTTCTTTTTATTCAGCCTCCCCCACCTCTTCTATCCCATATAGCTGACAAACACACCACATCTCATTCCACAGCAGATGCAGCCGAAGGGTTAATGGTACGCTTATCACCCTACTCAACATATACTTCTTTATTTTAACTTACACATGACCTACTAAAATCACGTTTCGCCTCACCTATCTCTCTATGTAGATGGTACCTCTCTCAAATCCTGTCATCAAGGACACGTTTCCTCTATCTTCATCGACAAACGATGGCCTCGCTGCTGCACCGCTCATAACTAAAATAGATGGAGTTACATTGGAGCCTTCGAAACTACAATCGTTGTCCAATGCGGCAGCCCTCCAGGAGGATTATCAACACCCTTCACTGGACGTCCAGAAACCTGATAACACCCTCCAGGTTACCCTTCTCACTTATTTATACTGTCTCCTACTCCACTCATATATATCTAACACGTATTCTATTTTTTAGGGTCCTCAACCAACACCCACCCAGCATACAACCAACCCACCTCAACTACCGCCCATCACAGTAATGATCCCACCAGAAGAACCTTTAAAGCTGCCTCCATCCATCTCAGCCACATCTAACAATAGCCAACCACCGACCACCACTCCACTCCAGCAACCACACGAGGTTTGAATAGTGGATGATTATTGTGGATGTAATCCTATTATATGCCAACCACTACGCCTATCCATTATAGCCATCCATCCCCTTCTGATTATTATGCCTCTATTCACTCTCTACAACTAACACTCTCTACTGCCTTGTTACAGGACCAACACAACCCCGTCCATCCACCAAACAACAAGCAAAAAAGGGTAACTCACCAATTTTTCTCAATCAAACCTCCCTCCAAAATAGCTTGACAACTAATATTATATCTTCTTACAACAGGGACATACCAAAAAAATGTTTTTTGCGACGCCAACGACTCCTCGCCACCCCCAAAATGAGAGAAACATACCCCTACTCCTACTGAGATTATGCTCGCTTCCCAAATTCGTACACTTCCACCCCGAGACCATCGATACCTACTCACACCACCATACTCTACATTGTTTGCCCTGTTCCACAAAACCGTCTCCGCAGCTCCTACTCTGTAAGTCCCTTCCTAGTCGTTCACAACTCATCTTACTTTGCCCCAACTAAAGTCACCTGGCAATTCCAGACTTCATATTACGCATTTGCACTTCGCCTTCGACAACCAGTTCCTCATTGACCTCGCCAAAAGCCAAGAGTGGGTCTCCACGCTTGTAAGCATCATATCTTTCACATTTTTTCTGATTTAGCAAAAAATCCTCAACACTAACACCTCCTATCGCAGCACATGGAAGTCCTGATGGCATGCTCAGCAAGGCGACATGCAAACTTACTTCGCTCACAACAAGTCAGCTTCATCTCCCCTATGTTCATAAACTTCCTGGATGCCAAATACCGCTCTTTCAATAAAGCGATCAACAAGAACCTTGTAAGATTCGATGGGAATATCAGCAGCATCGTCCACGCTCAAGGAAGCTGCTGGCTAGCCGATGTACACACCATCTACACCCCCATGATTTGGGACGACAAGCACTGGGTTGGGTTGGTCATTAACCTCAAGCTCAGTCTAATAGAGGTCCTCTATCCTAACCCCCTTCTCAAAAACGACATGCAGGTAGCTAAGTACCTAAAACCACTTCTGAAAATGCTTATGTACAGTGTCCGCAGTCTATGCCCTACACAGGTTACCCAATCATTCGGCCTAAAACCCTATGAGTGTAGGCGCAGCCAAGAGTACTACCAAAACATCCGATCAGGCGATTGTGGACCTGTCTCTATGAAATTCATTGAGATGCACATATACGGTGACCCATCTACACATGTTTGGTTTGACAGACGACGGCATTGACAACTTCCGCAAACAATACGCCCTCGACCTTTACACTGACCTTGTACTCCCTATCTATTTCCCCAACCTTGCTTGAAGGCATTATCTGTTTTTCATGGATGTAGTGTGTGTACTAATACGGTGGATGTATTTGTATGGATGAATGTGATGGACGAGATTAATGGCCGCATGCGGGGGCACGTTTTTGTTGGGTCAAGTACCTTGTCATCACACTTTTTGTGGATGTAGTTGATGTACAAATACGATGGATGCATATTCTGGATGTACGTGATGGAAGAGGGTGCTGGACGCATGTGATGGCACTGTTTTTTTTTTGGAACACACCTCGTCAACACACATTATTGGCTGTAATATTTTAAACTCGTTATTTACCCTGCAACAACTTGTAACATGTTCTAACTCTTCCTATCCTATCACTTCTTTAGACTTAGCTTCCCCACTTCTCCTATAAACCTAAGCTTCTACAATTCTTACTCAATATGCATCCATCAAGCCGGGACACAAGCATACCATCCACTGACTACCTTATATCACCCACTTCCTCCACTAATTACTAGCCGACATTTACAAAATCCTCAAATTACCCAATTCCTACTCCCCCACGTACGTCCCTAACACATAACTACAATATCTCTCAAAACATCGTCCTTTCTTCCTCATCGACCAAGCCGTACTCTATTGAACATCTACAGTTCTATGTCACCACAAGAGTTCCCGACCCACGTCTACCATACGCAGTCTCAAATCATACAAAGCCTTTCCATATAAACACATCTAATAACTAATGCTCTCCAATGCAGCGCCCAAATACCCTCATCCAATGTTCTCAATAACATATACTAAACCACATCCACATGGTCTTACTCATTTGGATGTAACAATAAGTCAATCCCTCCATCACGAAACCCACGTAAATGCACAACAGCTGCTCCTGCAAAACTTACCATCACTACCATGCAACCTATTACCCATTGGTACAAACATTCAACTCTCACTAAACATCCTTTTACCTACTCCATAGAAACACTATATATCTACACTTACCAACATCACATAACATCCCATCATTAACTACAATATCTTTCCTCATGTCTCGTTCACAGAGCTCTGCTTCTTTTGAAAATTCTACCGACACCAGCAGCAACCACGGAGAAGGCCCCCTTTGTTACTGCTACCGGCTAACCAAGCTCACCAAATCGTGGACAAACAACAATCCTGGACGCTGATTCTACCTCTGCGAGAAACATGGATTCTTTGCTCGGGCTGACGACAAAACTCCAGATGGGTGGCAAAAACAAAGCCTAATAGAGGCTAGAGACCAAATCAGACGACAGACACGCGAAATACAAGACCTCAAGGTGGCAAATAGCGCTCTAACGGCGAAGCTTCTACAGCGCAAGACAAGAAACCAAATTCCCCAATTCACAGCCACAGAGGACAGAGCTACTACAATGCCAACGGCTGCCTCTCTAGACAGGGAACATCTTCTTAAACTACTCGCTACCATCTGCTGTTGTGGATTTGTACTCGTCTCAGCCATCCTCGCCGTTTCTATGCCATAATAGTTTCTAATCGCCTCTGCTATTAAATCTACGCTCACTCGTCTACGTATCTTACTTTTCCTAAACTCATGTAACAAATCCCGCAATATATGCATAACCTACAATTATTTACTTTTCATCGTTACTCGTTAATTGATCAGGCAACATATGCACAACGTTCAGCTCGATGCAGCATAGCAACTACTAATTGTCAGCGAAATCCACAATACCATCTACCGCATCTATCAACCTTGCCACTTTAAACCAAACCACAGAACTCCTCCATATGACTCAATCCACACTATCCTTGCACCTAGCCGCAACTTAATTATTCCCATCCATGGTAGAGGAGATTATATCCACAACTCATCCGCCATTTCATTCTTACCATCCACATAATCCATGAAGTCCCAAATATCACCACCATCCTTCATACTACCCGTCACTGCACATTAGATATTGCTGTTATATCCCATCCATACATTGAAACCATAAAGCTCCTCCATAAGATTCCATCCATACTAACCTACCACCCAACCACCAAAGATTAAGCATCCATACAACGGAGAGATTATATCCACCCCTCAACCACATCATTATTAACCTCATCACCCCCCTCCCATCTACATAATCAATGATGTCCTAAAAATTACCACCATCCTTTATAACACCCGTAACTTCACACAAAACACTGTAGCTGCTTTCCATCCATACAGTCGAACCACAAATCTACTCCAAAATACTCAAGCAATAACCTTCCACCCAACCGCCACTTCAATTATATTCCCATCCATGGTAGAGGAGATTTTATCCACCACGCATCCGCTATTTCACTATACCCATCCACACTCTTCTACCATCTACTGCATTCGTAACATCCATTCAACAATATCCATCTACACCATTCCGTTACGTACCATTCACATGATATACAGCCGCACCACTATTACGGCTGGCAATCCCCATCCACATAATCTACCTTTATCTATCATCCAAACTACGCATACACCAACCCACATTTTTCGGCGCCTCTACACCACCACCATATACTATTTCCCATCCACACTATCAGCCCACCTCACACATCCATAAAACCACTCCTCACTGCTATTGTTGCCCATCCAAATAATCCAACCATACAGCTCGTACATATAATTCATCCAACACTCACCATTCACCCATCCTTCTAAAAGTACCCATCCATACCATTATACCATCTACCTAATTCACAACATTCATCACCCACGACCAACCCATACCATTCTGTAACGTATGATCCACCCACACGATATACACATGCACCACTACTAAGACAGCCTTAATTAATCATCCACAACCTCAAATCCGTTTGACGACTACAACATTAGGTTCCGTAATGACAAATTTGTCAATTAATCCGTTAATAAAATATAACTCCATTTGAACCATTACATAATCAACTAATTTTCCTCTTAATCATCCAGCACGATAACTCAACATTACTGTTCTCTGAAACTAGCCAACATCATTACGGGATGAGCCATCCACAAAAAAATATGCTCACACATACATTATGATACCATAGTCAATAATCGTTCACATACATTACAAACAATCCAAATTCAAATTGGGTTTGTGCAGCTTCTCCTATTGTGGCCGCTCTTCAAACACCTACTACACTTATTAGGCTCCACCTTCTTCTTACTTCCCCCCTGCCATCAACTCATTATTAAGATAGTGACAAACTAGACTACATAATATAATAAATTCACCAAAGTACACTTACAGCTATCTCTCCTGTCGATGGTATACGCCCCTCCTTCGGCCTTCCTGGTAGACGCCTGGTCCTGGGGGCATTAGCGTAGTCTGGAAGACGTCTGCAGGAATCTTAGTGTCTTCCGATTTATCGGGGGGGGGGGGGGGGGGGGGGGGGGGGGGGGGGGGGGGGGTTAATAACGGACGCATATGTCTCCGCCCAATTCACGGTCTTGAAAACGTCACTTGCCAGGGAGCTAGGCGCGACACTGAATCCATCTGTTGCCATTATGGCATGCCCACAGGGAATCTTAAGCAAGTCAAACTTCCGACATGTACAACGCTTCTCATGTAATAAAACATGATTTTTATCACCAAATTTACCAACCACCTCGCAAACTAGACACCATGTTAATTTTCCTACCCTTGTATTCTTTCTGGTGCTCCATCATTACCTTGTCCACTTCCAACGACAGCGTCCCCCTGTGTCTCAAAGACTTTCTTCTACGGGCATTGAACCACTTAGTCATCATCGTCTGAATAAACCGCAGAATCTCTATAATGGGCGAGTTCCTACCATCTTTCAACGTATTGTTCAACTGCTCCGCAATATTACTTGTCATCATATTATACCTCTCACCTTGCGAATAAGCTCTAGTCCAATGAGCCATCCCTATCTTCTCCAAGCACCTAGCACACTCACCGTTGGCTACTTGAATTTTGGACCAAATCTCCTTGAACTCACCAATTCTATAAGCAGCAGCAGCCATCCCAACTAGTTTGCCGAGACCTTTCCTATGGAACTTTGAAACCACATTCCGCTCCAAATGAACATTGCAACACCCATGCTGCACTTTCGGATATACTAACCTCTTCGCTTTATAGATTGTCCATGCCTGTCTGATATTATGGTCAAGCTACGGCTATCCGCTAGTATTGCCTCAACCTTCCCCAAAATCCACAACCAAGCGTCATCATTTTCAGCCTCAACAATCGCGAATGCAAGTGGGAAAACCTGGAAATTAGCATCTTAACCGCTAGCAGTTAGCAAAACGCCCTTGAATTTTCCAAACAAGTGTGTCCCATCCAAGACGATCACATGCCTCAACTTCCGGAAGCCAACGATGGAGGTTCGAAATGCCAAAAAAACATACAAAAAATGCTCCACGCCAAACTTATCCACCCTAGTTTCCAAATCCGCTACTGTCCCAGGATTCGCCAGCTTCAACATATGGAGGTACGACGGCAACCTTGTGTACGAGGCATCATCAGAACCCATTAACTCTTCGGTTGCTATCTCCTTTGCTCTGTAGCATTTCATGTAGGAAGTATTTACCCACAAATCCTCAAGGACCATCTTCTGGATCTCAGCAGAACGGAGGGGGGGGGGGGGGGGGGGGGGGGGAGGGGGGGGGGGGGGGGGGGGGGGGAGGGGGGGGGGGGGGTTAATAACCAACGCATATGTCTCCGCCCAATTCACGGTCTTGAAAACGTCACTTGCCAGGGAGCTAGGCGCAACACTGAATCCATCTGCTGCCATTATGGCATGCCCACAGGAAATCTTAAGCAAGTCAAACTTCCGACATGTACAACGCTTCTCATGTAACAAAACATGATTTCTATCACCAAATTTACCAACCACCTCGCAAACTAGACACCATGTTAATTTTCCTATCCTTGTATTCTTTCTGGTGATCCATCATTACCTTGTCCACTTCCAACGACAGCGTCCCCCTGTGTCTCAAAGACTTTCTTCTACGGGCATTGAACCACTTAGTCATCATCGTCTGAATAAACCGCAGAAGCTCTATAATGGGCGAGTTCCTACCATCTTTCAACGTATTGTTCAACTGCTCCGCAACATTACTTGTCATCATATTATACCTCTCACCTTGCGAATAAGCTCTAGTCCAATGAGCCATCCCTATCTTCTCCAAGCACCTAGCACACTCACCGTTGGCTGCTTGAATTTTGGACTAAATCTCCTTGAACTCACCAATTCTATAAGCAGCAGCAGCCATCCCAACTAGTTTGCCGAGACCTTTTCTATGGAACTTTGAAACCACATTCCGCTCCAAATGAACATTGCAACACCCATGCTGCACTTTCGGATATACTAACCTCTTCGCTTTATAGATTGATCCATGCCTGTCTGATATTATGGTCAAGCTACGGCTATCCGCTAGTATTGCCTCAACCTTCCCCAAAATCCACAACCAAGCGTCATCATTTTCAGCCTCAACAATCGCGAATGCAAGTGGGAAAACCTGGAAATTAGCATCTTAACCGCTAGCAGTTAGCAAAACGCCCTTGAATTTTCCAAACAAGTGTGTCCCATCCAAGACGATCACATGCCTCAACTTCCGGAAGCCAACGATGGAGGCTCGAAATGCCAAAAAAACATACAAAAAATGCTCCACGCCAAACTTATCCACCCTAGTTTCCAAATCCGCTACTGTCCCAGGATTCGCCAGCTTCAACATATGGAGGTATGACGGCAACCTTGTGTACGAGGCATCATCAGAACCCATTAACTCTTCGGTTGCTATCTCCTTTGCTCTGTAGCATTTCATGTAGGAAGCATTTACCCGCAAATCCTCAAGGACCATCTTCTGGATCTCAGCAGAACGGAGGCCGTTTGTAGGATCACCAAACTTAGCTTTGAACACCGCTGCAATCACTCTAGAAGATGTTTTGCTTTTGAAGTCGTTCTGTGTCTCAAAACTACTTGTGTGCTCCAGCTTCGCTTTCATGATCTCATAATACACACAGTCCTTCATCTCATGCGTCAATACTGTCCAATCACATAACCTATCAGCGCAACTAAGCACAAAATAATGCCTCTTCGTTCTCGTTTGCCTAAACCGAAAACGTTCCTTAATGGCGTAAATGGCAAGTGCTATACGACATTCTTGCTTGTTTGCATATATCTTCCCAACGTAAACACCACCACCCTCATCACCTATATCTAAATCAGGTAACTCTGCTTTCGAGTACTTTGTGTCGTCAAACATTGGAGGGATGTCAAAATCTTCATCTTCCAACGACACCGGTACAACACCCACATGCCCATCCACCAGAAGTCGTCCATCAAAAGCCGTCCACGGCGACACCCCAATATCCACGGATCTTGAATTACTCCTACTTCCCTCCCCAAACATAGCACCTTCTATCCTCTCCGCGTTTGACTTGCACAGGGCTTCTTCCATCATCCCGGTATCCACTCCCTCGCCTACAACGTCATCTCCGCACATAATTTCTATCGCGTCAGACCCACCCAGGGGATCGTCTATCAAAGGCTCCCAGAAATCCTTATCATAACCGTTTTCCGTTACCTCTACATCGTCAGGAACACTCCGGCGACTTGCCTCAGTGTAGGGAATATCGAACTCGTCAGTCAGCCCAATACTACCTTTGCCTAAGCTCTAGCTCCTATACTGCTTTTCAGCACTCTTCACATGACTTACAATATCCTCATCGTGCATAAACCAATGCTGAGACTTTGACCCAACAGATGACGCCCGGCAACTGGTGTGGTAAAACCTGCTTGGCTTCCATCAGCTACTACCGCGGCGCTATCTCTACACTTAACAAAAGTTACGAACATGTTCATGGCACTGTTCACACGAAGGTGTTTGAAGAAAAATGTCACGGCTCCACCGTTTGTCACCATCACAGGAGGCGTTGTTATGCATGTTGCTAGTTCCCGACTATTAGGCGGCCAGTTGATAGGGTCAGGTTTTACCCAAATAAAAACTACTGCAAGTGCACAGCAAAGCAGTCGTAGTATAATGGGTTATCGAATCCCAAGGGAGTAAGTAAACTATACTATCGAATGTAGATTCAGATTAAGCTAAGCAATAAGTAATGAATGTAATGCGAAATAACTAAAGTAATAAAAGCAAGTGGGCATTTTTGAGACTGTTCTTAAAGTTCAGAAAGCTAAATGCGCTAAGTCAGGACAGTTCGCAGGTTGAAACCGAGAGTGTAGAATGCATGCAATCAGGAATGAATAAGAAACGTCTTGAACATGAAACGCAAATATATAACTAATCAATTCTCATTGCAGAAGTTATCTATGTCTAAATCACAGAGTTTCAAATCTCTTTGCAAATCCTAACAACCTAAACATGCAGTAATGATCAGGTTCAATTGTTCACAAAACTCCTAAACCAAATCTCTTTGCACTAAGTTGTTTTGCTCATCATATACTAGTTAAGGTGATTAATAATGCTCTCACATCTATCAAAAAACCTAGGGTTTCGAAATCCAGATGATGTATCTAAGAAATCGATTTTTAATGCAAGCACAGATGAAGAACCAATGGATTTCCTATAGTTTTAGCAATTCAACAAACTCTTCTTCAACCTTTGAAAAGCCCTAACTTAACTAACAAACTACTCAGACATGGTGATTTGTGAAAACATCATGAAAATAATAGATTGCATAAAAGAAATAAGAAATAGAAAGTAAAGGAGTTCAAAATCTGCTCTGAAGGAGTCTGATTTGTCTCTCCAAAAGCTCTGCTACAAATCTCTCTCTAAAGCTCTCAAAAGTAATAAGATACAAGATATCTTCCAAAAGAATGGCTGAAAAACCTAATATACAAGCTAAAACACGATATGGGGTCTTTTTGCAAATACTGGAACTTCTGGGCTAAAACTGCAAATAATCCTCTATCTTTTAGAAAACAGCCACGACCCCTTCCTTTCTGGGTGACGAGCGTCACCAAAAGTGGTGATGAGCGTCACCCATATGCATACTTTTCTTCCCGAGTTGGGTACTTCGTGGCTTCAACTCAAAATGCTCCAAAAGGTTCAAATTCAGTCTAATCATCACAAGCTCAAATTCAGTCGAATCCACATACCACCTAGTCAACACAAGATCAAATTCAGTCTAATCATCACAAGCTTAGCAAATCTCTCAAGTCCAGTCCAAATCCCTTCAAGAAATCCGAAATTTCTACTGCTAACTCCTTATTTTTTATCTAAGTGTGATATCTCATCAAAGCTCTATCATCTTTATCACTTTATAGATTCTTTTCCCTTCCTAACAACGGAACAAATAGATCTCAACACAGCTCTCCTATTTTTTCTTCCCTTGATCTTTTCCTTTGGATTTTTTTTGATTTTTTTTTTCTTCTTTTTCTCAACTTTTACAGTCTAAGATATGGTGCTACTCAATACTTGTGTTCCTTGCGAGGAGACAGG